ACTGATTATTGTACATATTTTAATTAAAAGACTTAAAATTTAAAAATTATTTTAAATATTAAAAATATATAAAATCAAAAAGATTTTTTTTTATTATTATCTGTTAAATATTTCATTACATAAAACAATAAGTCTCTCATAGAATGTGTGAAAGTAAATGAAAAACTTTTTTCCTTCTAAAAAGGGAGAAGTGTTTTTATTTAAGAATTTTTTTTTCACTGATAGATTTAAGTTTTTTTTGTTTCTTATTAATTCAAAATCGTGTAAAGTTTTTTCGACATGTTTACAATTGTGTTCACAAATATCTTACTGGAAACTGATAAAATGTATCTATAAATTGTTTATAATCTTTATTAAAAATAGTTTAAATACATAAAAAAAATTAAAAACATAAAAAAAAGAAATAATAAATTGTCATAAGAATTAAAAGATTATGTTGAGTCTAAAATTATTTTAAGAATTAAATTAAAGGAAATATAATCTTTTTCAAATAATGAATTTAGATTTCATCGTAATCTTTTTCAAATAATAAATTTTGATTTCATTTAGTTTTTATTATAATTATTTAAATGATTTTTAATGCAGTTAAAATTAAATTTAATAACAACGCACTACCTTAAAATGCGCTAATGAGGCAATTTAACTTTTAATAATGTAAATATCAAAACTGGTTTAAAGTTACATATATTAGCGTTTGGTGCTTTTGTTTCAAAACAAAACTCATAACAAGGCCTGTTGTGTGGGGCTCAAAAAAATAAAAAAATTATTTGTATCCAAGGTAATAATGCTAGAAATCAACAATTTTTTGGCCACTACTGTGTATATATTTGTATATATATATATATATATATATATATATATATATATATATATATATATATATATATATATATATATATATATATATATATATATATATATATATATATATATATATATATGAAGACCTCAGTGGAAAAACCAGTGATGTCACATTTTAAAAAAATTTGAGTTATTACTATTTTTCGATTAAGTATGATTTATTTCATATATTTTTTTAAAAAACTAATGAAAAAAACATCCCAGTCCTCTTTAAAGAGGATAAAATGAAACAGATCCCAATGGAATAATCAGCGATGTCCAGCGTTAAGTTTGGAACAAACAGCTATGTCCGTAGTTTTGAATGTTGTAAAAATCACGTGGTTACTAGAATCCATAATAATTGGTTGAATTATGCGGAAAAAGAAAAGAAAACATAATAAGCATAATGGCGAGCAACGATTGTCCTGTTGTAACAGAAAAATCAAGAAAAAGGAAGATTAATGTTAATTTAAAAAATAGAAAACAAATGCACATTTTATCAAGTCACATTAGTGGAACAGACTGCAAATGCAAAAGACTGGCATGTTTTGAGGTTGTTACTGTTGAAGAAAGAAACAAATTAATTAAAAACTTTAACGAATATTTATTTAAAGATAGTCAGGACGCATACTTAGCCACATTGATAAAAATTCACAATATCAAAAGACGAAGATTACGACAGGAAAAAGATAAAGAATATTTACATAATTTTTCATATCCTTATAGCGTTAGGGTGCAAAGAGCACAAGCAGCTGTTGAAGTACTGGTTTGCATTTAGCTATGATGTCTTTGTTTGGAATAACAAAATCTAGAATTGAATCAATACCGAAATCAATTGCTACAACTGGTTAGTAGATCTTTTTAGAAATATAATTTATAATTTTTTTAATTACTTATTAATGATTATATTTATTACTATGATTCATATAATAATGATTGTAATTTTGTTCCCTTAGGTCACCCTCCAATTGACGGTAGAGGAAAGCATAAAAATCGACCACACAAGTTATCAGAAAGTGACAGAGAAGCTATCCGAAAACATATATCTTCTTTTAGAGGAAGGTCATCTCATTATGCTCTTGGAAAAACTAAAAAAATTTATTTATCTGAAAATCTGAATGTCTCCAAAATGTTTGAACTTTTCTAACTTGCTTACCCAACAGTTAAGGTAGGATATGAAACATATAGAGTATATTTAACAATAATTTTAACATTGGGTTTGGTTTTCCACGAAAAGACACTTGCTTGGCTAGTGATGAGTTCTTTGTTAATATAAAACACAATGACCAAGAGCTTTTAAATGCCGTCGATGAAGACATTATCAAACTTAAAAAAATAAAGAAAGATCTTGAAACAGAGCATGAACTTCACACAAGAAAGGCAGCTTCATTTTATAGCAGAAAATCAGATGCAAAAAATAGAGCATAAATCTCAGACACATTTGAAGCTATTGCTTTTGATTTTCAGAAGAATTTGCCATTGCCTAATAAATCCACTAATGATGTGTATTACCAAAGGCAGCTTAAATTTTTTTCATTTAATATTCACATCCTATCAAGTGATGAGGTTTTTCTTTACACATATGATGAAACAGTAGGAAAAAAAGGAGCTGATGATGTTTGCTCTATGCTTTATCATTTTATTATTAATCATCTTTCTGACAACGTTTCTGAATTACATTTCTTTTG